GTGAAGCAGGCAGAGGTAGGGTGTAGATTCTGTTGCGAGCACTTGAGAGAGAGCTGCTAGGAAGGGAGTGAAGACCTGGCGAGGATAGCTGAGAGGCAGGTAAGAGCTCAGAGGACAGATACCCAAGTCACTCGGCACTAAGGGTACGTCTACACTGCAATTACAAACCAGTGGTTGGTGACTCAGCTCACGAGGTTCGGGGTAAGAGACTGTTTAATTGGGTCCAGGCCAAACCCAAAAGTCTACACCACGATTAAACAGGCCCTAAGCCTGGATCTTGGCCAAGATCCAGCAGTAGCATGGCCTAGTACATCATCTCTGGACAGGCCACCCCTGGGTATGTAACTGCAGTGTAGACATACGCTAAGGGACTTGTCTACATGACCCCACAGTGCAGACTGCAGGGTGCGAACTGCAGCCCACACTAAAGTTTTGTGCTGTAAGTAGACCCTGCTAGCACGAAGTAAAAGGTACCTAGTTCATAGCAATGTAGTCTCATTTAAAGCAGCCCTACGCTATCTCTTAGTTCATGCTAGCAAGATCTACGTGGGGTAATTACAGCACTAAACTTTAGTGTGTGCTACAATTCACAGCTCTGTAGGCCGTACTGTGTAGACAAGCACTAAAATGCAGAATCAGGGGAAGAGAATTTATTCTCACCGGCAGCGTTATGCAAACTTACCTCACAAACCTATATAAAATAGAGTAGCTCCAGCTATCAATCACATGAATGTTTGAATTTACTGGATAAATTACTGATTTATTTTAATATGCAAAACCTTGTTGCTATTGTGCCTACTGGTACACATGAATCTTGTCTAATATTACTTTTGTTACATAGCGATAAAAGGTAAATAAGTATTTGAAATGTGTTTCTTTGAATCAAATACTTCATCTAACACAGTGGACTCCTTCAAGCTTACACAGTTAGAACCAAAAAGTGCTAGTAGAATCAGTCATTAACAAACCTTTGCTTCAAGAGTTACCTTTTAAAATGCATCCAAGTCTGTGTAACTAAGTTATGGCAACAGCTTATCTGTCTCATGATTCAGCATTTGCAATAAGTGGATATTGACTTCAGTGGCAGTGACAATTATTGACCTGAAAGCTAAATACTAGCCAAGGCACAGTAGAGGTTAACATTTAACTGACTGGACACCTCAGACAATTAACGTCTGTACTGTCAATCATCTACAGTTTCACAATTCCGGCTGTGGAATTGTCAACCGTAACAGCTTGCTGTTGAAGGAACATTCTAAATTAGAACTGAAGTTAGACGGTCCTGTCCAATCAGGACGTGGAAAGTTGGATATGAGAGCTCAGTGGACACGTCGTAAGAACCTACTAAGAAGACTGCGGTAGCATTTGCAATTTAGAGCAGTTTTGCGCCTCAGAACAGGTGCGTATATGTTACCCAGGCTGTACAGGAACATACAGTCAGGCGTGTTCACTGTGCACATGGCAAGCAGCTAAGGCCACCAGAGGCAAAATGGATTCTTAACATTGTGATCAGCTCTCTTTCCCTCTGAGCAGTCGATAAGATTCCTGCTGCTGCCACGCACTTGTTACTAACATGAGACCCACGCCAGGGAAGAGGAGATGCTCGCTGGATCCATTCAGGGAACCTCACCGGGGAGTAGCCTGCCCAACTGGATAGCTGCTAGTGAATCGCAGACCTAAAAAGTCTTAATGCACCTATTACTGACGCAGTTGCAAAGTAGTATTTGTATGGCTAACCCTTGGCTTAGCCCAGCTGTACTAATGTGAAACATGTGCCTAGCACTGAATCAGTTTTTAAATCAAGGGGTTTAATAGCAAAATAGCCATGAGGTATGCACGATAACAGCATCCCCTCAGTGCTACATGCAAAATAGAGCGACTGTCCCTACGCTATTCAAACTAGAGCCTAAGCAAAGATCTTAACAGCAAGGAACTCTGGGAAAGTGCGCAGCTAGAGTCCAGTGGTGTAACTCTCTGGATCAATTCAAGCCAGAGTTCACATGTTTCCCCCTACTCCCCGGAACAGGACTTCTTAACCAACAAGCATGATTTGTAACATGGCCCATGTATTAAACTAAAAACAAGTGTTTGGAAAATAATACAGCTCTGAAAGTAACAGGGACAAGCCCATCCTGTTAATGCCATTATCTGCTCCAGTACCAGTCATATAGCTCTGGCTTTAATTATTTCAGGAATCTCAGTTCA